AAAACTCTCAGGCTCTAAGCTCCATATTTCTTCTACTTGCGCTCCTCGGCAACCTGAAACAAGAAATTATTTTCTTTAGAAAACAAATAACTCATTTTCTCCTTTACCAATAAGTAATGCACTAACTAAAAGAAAGACACATGCCAGGGCAACACGACATGACCTATGAAAAAGGTGAAGCTGTTAACACACCAAGTCCCACTCTGCTTCGCTTCCCAGTGACTTCCTGTGAAGGCACAGGAGTGAGGCTTCAAGAGTTTGTTCACACTGCATCAGCGCCCTGTGACCTCTGCCTTCTACTGCATCTCAGTCCCTGGCTCTTTTTGTTTCTTGCTGTCCTTAACTTCCTTTTTAAATCAGTACATACTTTCTTCTTCCGTGAAAGAACAGCACTGAACTGTAACACTCAATCTTTAGTTTTGATACATTCCAAGCATATATATTTTACTAACCTCTTTCCCTAACCCAAGCACACTCTTCTAGACCACTGGTTTCCACATGGTTATTTTGCTCCCCTGGGAATATACAGCACAATGTCTATAGACTTTTTTTTTTTTTTGGTTACTAGTCTGGAGAGTACAGACGACTTACCACTGGCATCTAGTAGGAAGAGATAATGATAAACATCCCACATTACACAGGACACAAATTATCTGGCTGGGTGACATAATATATCTCTAGTTTCAGGTACCAGGAAAGCTAAGGCAGGATAATTTGAATACAGTTCAAGGCCAGCCTAGGCAACATAAGGAGGTCTCCAGGATTATCTAACCAATAGTGTTAGCCCCAATTAAGAAACCTCATTCTAGAAGCACCATAGCAGTCATGTGGTAGGCACTCAGCCTCTTACTCGCTAAATTTGAATCCTGGCTCAACCATTGACTATGTATGACCATTTTACCTCTACATCCTCAGCCTCATGCAACTGTTGTGAGGCACAAATGAGACAGAGTAAATAAGACGTATTTATCTAGTGCCTAACACTGAAAGCCACCAGATGTTAGCTGGTATTACAATACATAAAAATGACTACGCCTACCAGTGTCTCTTGTATGTAAACTGTTTGGGATAGACACTCTCTAATACCTATAGAAAATGATTAACAGAAGAGTATTCAGGATATTAAGTTGCATGCCTGAATTCCCCTACTAATTAAAACCCACATTTGCTTGCAGCTGTCTAGAAATCTAATATTCCTGACTATTTTCAAGTGAGTACTGGAGAAGCCTTCAGACCTCCTATAAAAAAAAAAAAAAACTATTTTAATGGTTCTCTAGTTCAATGGCAGAGTACCTACATTCAATCCCTAGCACAAAACACAAGTGTAAGCTCAAATTCCTCATCTCATGTTCCTTGCTGAATTTATGGGTATGAGCTACCATACCTGGTTGTCTTGAAGCTCAAACTTGACAAAAAAGGTAACAAGTTTGAGCTTTGCTTTTCTCATGCGCTTACAAATCAAAGTCAGTATCTGTTTTGTCTAAAGCAAAATAAAAAAAAAAAAGAAATGTTTTACAGTTATACACAGAGGAGGGAGGGGGGAAAATGCCAAACACAAAGAACTTAAGTCTCCTAATATATATTAAATAAAAAGCTGAGGAGAAAAATCAGGCAGTGAAGTCCCTGCACACAAGCAGGAGGACCTGAATTTGGATTCCCAGTTCCACAAAAAAGCCTAAGAGGGCAGGCTACCATAACCTTAAGCTTTGGGAGACAAGCGAGTGGCAAAAGACATGCAGATTTCTGGAGTTTATTGCCCAGCTAGCTGGCCTAGAAAACAAGTGAGATCCAGGTTCAATGGGAGAACCCATCTCAAAAATTGAAGTGGACACTAACTAAAGAAACCTCTAGCCTCCACAAACATGAACACATGCATACTAAACACACACATAGACACACAAAGTTGAGGGAAGACTTTTCAAAGTTAATGAACTACTAATATTTACTAAATACTTTTTGTAGTACGCCCTGGCAAGGACAGACATTAACAAACCATTGTAACACTTATAAGTCCTATGATCCAATAGATAACTACATACAAATCAAAGACAGAGCAGGATGCATATATGAAGGATATACATGGAACATATTCTACAAGACAGATCATTCATTACTACTGATGTTTATGAGAACATTTTCATAAGTAATTGAACTAAATCCTATACCATATGATCATCTAATGTCATCCAAAGCAGAACATTCTTCTAAAGAGGTTCTAAAATTAAAATTGACAGAATTTTTTAAATATTTATGCACTAACATACTATGTTGGTACAGTTAGTTCTAAGAACTATAAAACTCCAAATCTAATTTCAAAAATATTTTCCTTTTCTTTTTCCCCCCTTAGAGTTTCACTAATCAACTGAAGTTGACCTTGAACTTGTGATTCTCCTGCATCAGCCTCCCATGACTGGCCAAGAAAAAAAAAAATGTTTCGTATGGTCTGAAGAATGATTTACAGTAGTCATACATCTGGTTTTGAATGAGTGCTTTTATTAAATATAAAGCAAGTCAAAGTAAATGAACAATCAGTAAGTTACAGGTAGATAGTAAAACATCATTAAATTGGCTTCAACTTCTCCAGTTAGTTTCTGCTGGATGCTGTGAATGTTGTGATTTGTTCTTTTACCTGGAAGCCTCACTGGAGGGGGCATTCTGCTC